TCAGCCTAAAGAAAAATAATTTCTGTATTTATTTATTTTTTTTTCTAGTGTTTTAGCACTATATAGCACATTTTAAATTCTTTTTCTCGCTTTTTACAGAGTCATTTTTATAGTTATATTGTAACACAAAAATTACTTTTTACGAAAAAAATCAATGTTTCTACTCTCTTAATAATTGAAACGAGCAATTATTTATTGTGACATCGTCATAATGTCGAGCTGCAATTTTTAATCATATTTTTACTTTATTTCATTTAAAATATATGCTCCCCACCACAAATTAGTAGTAACTCGCCTCTGCACATCATACTTTTCTTTCAAGGAAAGACAGATGGACTGGCAGGCAACAGTAGAAATTTATAGGTCTACAATTTTTTCAAATAGCAGCCCAATTATATTTCTTCAATTAAACTATTTTAATGAATATAAACCGCTCATAGAATAAAGAAAATAATGTATTAGTTGAGGCTTAGAGATATACAAATTTTATTAAGGAATTTAAATCAAACTGATGCTTAGTACGTAATTTTTATCGTGTCTCGGCCATTCGATTTCATTTATAAGATTGCATTGGAGAAACTTATTGCATTTTTCTATAAAAGAATTAATTGATCCATCTTGCAATCTTGAGTTTCTCTTTAATAAAGAACAAATACTGTAAATATGAGTAAAAAATCTTTTTTGGCTTTATTGTACTAAACAAAACTTCCAAGTGCATCAAAATAATAGTAGTACTATCTTCGCGCTTCTGCTTCTTGTTTTTGATGTGAGTAGCAAGATGCTGACCATTCAGGAAATGGGAATTCACATACATCATTAGGTTTAAACAGCTGCGAGGGAGGCCGACCAATTTAATGAACATCAAAGAAAAAAGAAAATCGCTACTTTAGGTAATACTGTATAATCGAAACCTTACAAATCGCTGTGGGAAAGACATCATAAAGGCAAATCTGACGGAATCAACAATATAGATAACATCAATCAAATTTAAAATTAAATTAAATTAATTTATTCACAACTTATTTCTATTATTTTCAAATACATTTCTGAGAGTTAATTTATGGCAAATTAACTTACAGAATCTGCGATTTTCATCTGATTGTCTGTCTCAAAACCGTATTTCTCGTAGAATATTTATTTGTGATAAATTAATTTACGAAATTTCTTTCAGGAAATTTATTCATTCTCACTTTTAAAACATAAAGTAATCTTATACATTCGATTGATGTTGCTGATTCTGTCGTAATTGACGTCGTAATATCGTTCCCACGAAAACTGCCGAATGGTGAGAATTTACTATTGTTGTCGCCTGTATATGCGCGCAATTTATTATAACTCTAATATTTACTGCCATTAATACTGTAGTTGTCTACACGCAAACGGAAATGACCTCATCAAATTAATCAAATATCATATATATAGGCCTACACAACAACAAGATTTAAAAAAAGAATCGGTTAAAAATATTAGAATGAATAAATAAATTTTTTCGCATTTTTACAGTTCAAAATTCATTTTCTTTTATAACTCGTGTACCAGCGTGTTTCCATTGAAAAATAGCGCTGGGTATTTCTAATATCGTTGAAAGAACAGCATCAAATCCTCTTGTATTAAATTGTTAATTTGGGAAATCTTAAGGTCAGTTCAAAGAATCCTTGCTTTGAAGATTCAGGCTGTGTTTTGCCATTCTGTCTTCAGTCACCAATCTGAAGAATAATAATTTTGCGTGCACATTAGAAAACCAGTTTCGCGGTAATCTAATTAATTCTCAAAACACTATATTTAAATTTTTAAAATTGTAATTCTTTATCATAAGTAAACATTTTCAAATAAATCTGTTTTCTTCGGACACTCAGTTTTCATCACTCCAATATATAATAAAACGCATAATACAATTTTTGTGTAAAAGATTTTTAAAGTATACTTGCCATTTTTCAGTTTATCTGATTCTCCTCCATATAAAACTGTTTTATATTTATTCTCAGGCCGGAAACTGCATTGTTATTGCTATTATAATTGCTAGGTAGTTCGATTGTCCAATTAACATTAACTCGCATATAATTACAATTTTTAAAAAATTTTAAAAACAGGTAAACTTATAAAACAAAAATGATTGAAATGACAGAAAAAAATTTAAATAAATTTTATAAATAATACAATTTAATAAATAAACAATTTTTATAGTTACGTCTCAAAAGAAAAAAGTTGCAAATAATGAAAAAATGTAATTAAAGCTTGAAAAATGCAGGCAAAATAATGTAAAATTAAATAAATGATAATAAATAAATAAAAATTAATATTAAGTTAATTAAAACTAAAACTAATAATTAAAACCGCTGAAAAGTTGTGTTGAAATTTTAAAATTAAAAATAAAATTAATTTTTAAATTTATGTTATTTGTGTGTGGCGGTGACAGAATAATTTGCTTTTAATATATAACCTATACAGATTATATGATTATTTATAATTTTTACTATGACATTTACGTACAATTAATGATTATACATATTCAGAAAAATTGCAAACAATTAAATGATTAAAAATTAACGTCATAATAATAGTTTTGAATTGAATCGAATTATTTTAGATTATGGTTTTTCATTCTAGTAACAAAATTTGAAATAAGTATGTATGAATTAAATTAAAATTTGTTATTTAATTAATTTTAATAAAATTAATACTGTACAAAATAGTACTTAAAATAAATGTCAACATAACATAAAAAACAAACTTGTGCAAGTATTAATAACTGTTATAAAAGTCTAATTTCAATTCTTAATAAAGAAATATGACTTTCAGATATCAATATCCTTTATACCCAGTATAAGGTTTTTTTTTTAATGCTTCACAGTAGGAATGCACAACATGTGGTCCACTAAATGTTTCTATCAGATCCTACGTCTGATTTTGAGAATGTTTTATGTTAATAAGTCTTTTTAAATATTGGCATTATTTAGGTTAAAATCAATATAATGTATTTGAGCTTATCATAGCTTTGTATTGTTGGATTTACCCATAAATATCTGCTTAAATGTCAATAAATTTCATTGTAATACAGCTCGTTTAAATAGAATTAAACTTAATACGGCTTAACGTTGCGCACCGTATATTATATTATATTATATATTTAATTAAAATTATATGAAACGTTTTTATTATTTGTAAAATGTAAGACAAAATCTGAAAAAATATTTATGCTTAAAAGGAAAATTAACAAAATTATTAATCTTCATAGCTTACTAGCATCTATAATATTCAATTAATTTAAATTATAAATAGTTCAGTTTATATTTCGGATTTTGTTTAGATTGCTTGAAATTTTTAATTATTTTTTTACATTCTTAACAAGTAATAATAGCGAATACAAAGCATTATCTGACACCAGAATAAATGCAAATTAGCTAATTGATATAAAACAAAAGAAAGAGAATAAACAATTAAATTTAAGAAAGTTAATTTCTATAAAAGAATCCGAATTAAAGGTGTGTTTTTAGATCAGAAATGGACAACCCGCAGCTTTTTATGGCTTCTAATGTGATCTAAAAAATATAAAATGGCATATACAGAAACGAGTTTTTATGCACCTCTTTTTCTTCACTTTTTGGGTAAAGTAGTTAAAAAATATGCTTTCTGTTCTTTTTTTTTTTTTATAAAGAAGCCTATTTAAATATAATTAATATATTTATAAATTTATTCATGTATGCTGAATGTATAGCACATATTTACTCAACCTCTAATATAATGCGAGGCCTTATGAGAACCTTATGAAGTAAGATGCGACCTTTCATTTATAAAAGGTTCCTCCTCTCTCTGTTTAGGATTTTAGGATACATCTTTTATTTTTATATATTTTGAGGACTTTTCTGGAACCTTTTTTTGAGTTAGATTAGTTACATCGCAACGTAGTGATTCACAAAACCACAAACTTGTCGATAAATGTCTCACCAAAAGTTAAAAAAAAAATCGATGCTTTTATCTAAAGCTGTTTTTCATTGAAAAATAAGCAGAAATCGTTTTAAAAATTTTAAATTTTTTTCCTGTGATGCACATTTTAAAAATTAATTAAATTCAATTATTATTCTAAAAAAGCATTCCTATTACTTATTAATTTCTCATTAGAATAATTACATTTACATAAGCTTATACTTTTATTTTAATTAAAAAATTAGGATATAAATGTGTGTTTTTTTAACGCGGTTCTAATATTTATTTAATAGAATCCAGGATTAAGTTTCTTTCTTTCCTTGATGAAAAATAGTTGTTTAAATAATTTTGATGGACATATCAGGAAACGTACTTCCTAAAAATAATTCCCCGCTAATGTGGTTGTATTATCATTTATAGAGGAAAGGAGGAAACATTTAACATTTAGAAAACATTGGCGAAAATTGTCTAGAAAATGTTTTTAAGGCAATTTTTTCCCTTCTTTTTCTTAAATGCGGATTATTAATTCTATGTTTAAATCTTCGTCAGTGATTTACGTGGCTCTAATATTAAATCATTACGTATTAATTGTAATTAATTTTAAAAAAATCGAATTAAGAGAGTTTTCTATGAAAAAATAATTATTTTATGAGTAATAAAATATAATAAAAATGCAAATATATACCCAGAATATTTAAAAATACAGCATATATAATTTAAAAAAATAATTAAAATAAAAAAATAAAGTTACATTTAAAAAATTTTGAAATTTATTTACAGTATTTTAAAATTAAATATATTTTTAAAGAAGCGCCATCTGAAGTAATTAAATTGAAATTAAAAAGAAAAAAATATATAAATAATACATATTTTTCTTTATGTATTAAATATTTTAATTATTATTAATATGTAAAACGTAAAAAAAGAAACATTGGTATATCTTAATAATAATATCTATAAAATAACGTTTTTTTTGTATAAAAGAACTTTTTTCAAATTTTTATTAACTTTACATTTGACGTCACGACCAATCGCGGTTACTTTTAAATATCGCCATCTAGCGTCGACGAGAGAAGTTATTTGTTTTTGGAGGGATTTGTGGAGAAGGGGAAGTGGTGCAGGCATTTCCGCCTGTGGACGAGCTATGCAGGCCAGACTGGCTGGTCACCTGCCTCTTGTGATGTGGAGTAAGCTCACCATCCACTTCTTATTGTTTTCAGGTGAGAGAAAGCTTTAAATCTTCCTCCGAACGGTCTGAGATGGCGGTTAGTTGACAAATGATTCAATCGAATTTAAAAGGACTTACTGTAGTTGTATTTCGTCTGCTTCTATAGTTTATTGATTAGTACGAGGCGGAAGTATTGTCATGCTGGGTATTTATACTACTATCCTCGTCATCTTCCACTTTGATAGCTCTAATTTTTATACAATAAATTGATTTTTCACACGCTAATGCATTTTATACACGTAACTCTATCTAATAAGCAGTCATTACATCAGTTTAGCGGAACTTTTGTTTTAGTAAAGATTTGTCTTATTTATTTAGAAAAATATCAAAAATTGTATTACCGAATAATAGATAATAAATTTATTATATTTATTTCATAAAATGAAATTTTTCTCCATCCTATACTCAACTGCATCGAAAACAAACATTCTTGAGTATCTCTCTGTTCTTTTGACGTCATTCATGTGACAAATTCTGTACATTCTGATTTCTTGACATTTTGTCATGAATATTTAAACAATTTAATTCTGATTGATTGTATTGCTTTTGCTTGGTATAATCAAATTTCTCTTATCGAATTACGTAACAATTCTATGCAAATTATGACAATCCATTTAATATTTAATTATGGAGAAATAATATATATTTTGTATTATTATTATTATTTATTCTTTCATGAATATATAAGGATTTAATATATGCAAATAGCTCCGCTCCGAATTTATATAATATAAATTTGTCCTATATATCAATACTTTTAGGACGCAAAATGTTTTCTTGTTTTATTTTTAAATCATTGAATTTGTATTATTTAAATTTGTAGCATTAAATTATTATTAGCATAATTTGTTTAATATTCTACTCTCTTGGCCATTTTACATGCCATAATTTTTTTTTCATAATGTTTAAAAAAGAAAGAAAGAGAGGAAAAAAAATTATATTAAAATTGACTAATTGTTCGATTTATTTTTTCATTAAAATTTTTCATTCCTATTTAATAAAGTATTACAAACTGTTTTATAAAATATATGATAAATTCCAGAGGAATTCTATTTATAGTAAAGGAATGGTCAAGAATAAATGCTGGGAAGTTGATTGAAACACTTAATCGAATGAAGTAAAGTATTGATTTGGTGTTAAAGTTATATAGATTTAGAAGTTAATAGAATCGGTATAAGAGAAAAACATATAGAAACTAGCTTATTAAAATTTGAGAATATAAACGAAAGATTTCAAATAAGATATCTTATTTCTGTTATATAATGTAAGTAGAGTAAAATATCCCTTTATGACCACCTCTAATTTGCATCCATTTGTGATCAGCAGAAAAGTTCTCAAAATTTTTCTATTGATTTACATAGAACGTGGGCCTCTGATATGTACCATCCCCAATATGTGAACATATGTTTTTGGTCTCTTCCATACAAATCAGCCTATAATATATGATCATTTGCCCAAGTTTAGGCATGCAATTATTTCAAATGAAACTTTTTGCCATATTGAGGTGCTTTCTTTGTTCTGTTTCCAGGGATGTTGTTATGATTATCACTAACTAATAAAATGTAATTTCTCCACAGTAATAGGAAGATTAGAGTGGCTGCAGCTTCGTTTGGCAACTTGTATTCGTTAATAGAACCGTAAACAACCACAAATTCCAGCACAAATTCTTTAATAAATAACGTTTCGACCTTATTCAACGCCTTCATTAGGCTTTGTTGCTCCGAATATCTTGCGCTTTACCTCGTTTTGCGTGTGTCTTTGGATATTTAAAGTAATATAACCTGATGAAAGTCTTTGAATAAGTTATTTATTAAAGAATTTATGGTTGTTTATGGCATGTGTACGGTCCAGTTTCTACATTTAATTCTTACATTCGTATTGGACTTTTAATTTATTCTTCATATCTGTTCATCTATTAAAGATTTTCAACATTGTTTTTTTCCGGATAAAAAATATTTTCATGTAATCATAATTGCTTACTGGTTCGTTTTCATAAAAAAAATACAGTATTAGCTAGTTGTTACAGTATTATAAAATATAAAAGTTAAAATAAAATTAAAATATTGAAATAAAAGTTATACATGACAGTCTGTGTTTTTTTTTTTACAAATTTCTCATATGAAGTGAGAAATGGGAGGTTTTACTGTATGTATAATTGTTACTTCTGATGAAAAGTCATATAAAGAAGATTACACAATTACACCTATCTGTATTTTATGATGTAATTTTTATATTGGCTTCAGTAAAAATAATAATTGATTTAATTACGATCTAGTTTATACGATAAATAACGAAGATAAATAGATTGATTTTATAGAATTTCCTATAAAATAATTAAGTTTATTCGTCTTCTTATTATCTAATTTCATGATGTCAGATTATTAACACAATGATAGTTTACAAGTTTGTAACATTGCTTGTCAGTTTTTGTGATGTTTGATTCGGAAACTGCTTTCAACTAAACAATAAAGCGTAACTTTTTTGGATTGGATTGAAATCCCATTGGGAGTTCGAAGTAGCAAACAATTCTTTTTCTTTAGTTAAAAGCAACATTTAGGAGTGACAGAGAAATCGAATTGACTGCCTGTTCCAGTCTTTATAAATCTTAATTATGATTGAATACCATTAAAATAATCAATATAAAATATACGTTAAGTTTTTACTGTTTTTANTAGTTAGGTTATACAAACTAGGCCAAGAACTTAACTTCCTCCAGGTTATTTATTCCAGATATATCTAAAGATTTACTTATCTTAGATCTTTATGTTATACATGGAGTATAAAGAGAACACATTCTAAAAGTATTTCTTAACAGTGTCAAAAACTGTTATGTGAATTTTATTCAGTTTGAAATTAGTTTGTTTTAGCGTCATAATAATGAAAAGAATTAAATTGGATTTTTTCGTAAGAATTTCACGACATTAAGAGCAGCATGCATTGCGTCTGGCCTCATTTTTTCCCATTATGCAGATATTTGATACGCAATAATGTTGTCCAGTTTAGATGAAAGGGGAAAAAAGTCCAGACACGAACTATTTTTTAAAAAATCTCACAAAACCCGGATCGAATTTAAATCCGGATCTTCAGAACGGTAGAACTACTACTTATCGTGCTTAAGAATTAGATATATTTACCGACAAATAAATTATGAATAACTTACTAGAAAATGATAGCTTATATTTAACTTAAAATTGAAATGATTTTAACATGTTTTATTTATAAATTTAATGGATTTTAAATAAAATAATTTTAGATTAGCAATTTTTACTTACTTAAGAAAGTAAAAATTGTTGATTTAAAATAATTTTCTTTTATTCATTTGACTACATTCCTTCATTTTATTTAATATTAATTCTCTATTGTAAACTTTCTAAGGATGGAAGAAAGACATAAATTATATTCATTTCTTTCAATGAAGAATTAATAGGAAAAAATAAAAAAATTACATTTTGTAAAATATAAAATGAGAGGTGTTCAAATTGTAGATATGTTCCAACATCATCAACGAATTCGGAAAAAAAATCTATTATCTGGACATCTGTCGTTGTAGATAGCCATTCACTTCCTGCTCCTCTTCATCCATAGAATCTTCATTGTTAGCTTGGACGAGAAGAAAAGAATTATTGATGAGCCCCTCTCCCTAGTCGAGGGAAAGACCTAATATCCAGGGATATGACTCAGAGATGAACCATACTTATTTTACATTAATATAAACACCATTAACTTGATTTTACGATAGAATTCTGATTATATAGATAATAGAAAATTAAATTTCAATCATAATTCACTTGTATTGCTGAGTACAGTTCATATTATGTGATGATAAAGTTTAAGAAAAAATATATAGGAAAAAATAGAAGAATTGTAATCTTTAAAAGGAAAAAGAGAGATATAAAATTTAAATTATACAAGTGAAATTTATTAATATTGACATTAAACAAAAATTTTGTTGACATGAGCGTAAATAATTTATCGATAGAAAGTCGTCTGAATTAATTGAAAATTTTTGAATATTTCGTATGACGATCGAATGGCAAATTTAATGCATGAAATAATTGAAAATTTAGATTAGCATATTTTCATATTAATTTACAGCTTTACTTGTTGAAAATGTATTACTTTAATAAATTCAATAATATATTAAAAATCCATGAAATGTTTCAGAAATATCAATTAAATTTTTTGTTCCATTGAAAGCTATCTCAAAGCGTATCTTAAAAATATTGAAATAGTAAAAAAAAAGATTTAATGCAATTAACAATAAAAATTGTCATTATTAACGTCTTTCGGTATTTAAATTTTGAAGATATTATTTAAATATTAAAACAATTAATAAATAACAATAATTTATCATATCATTTTATGTTTTTAAATTAAGGTTTTTTTTTTATTTTATAACATTTTTTCAGTTTTTTTTACTGAAATCAAGCTGCATCAACTCTACAGGAATTCATTAATTAAAAAAAATGCTTTTATAATTGAGAAAATAATTTTTAATTACAGTTAACTAGTGGTTTACATAACGAGTAATTAGTTAATGTTCCTTTTGAAGTTTCAAAAGTATCAAATGCTTCTTTATATAATAATTCCTTGCCTCGTTACTCGTTAACGAATCTCAACATAATAAGACGAGAATAAATAAGTATTGCTTATCCTGCGAATATATTGCAAACAACGATTGCATTTGATTCTATAATTTAATACTTCTGAAATATAAAGCCATATAATTATTATATATATTAATATAATTTTGTTTTTATTAATGTTTTCATATTCGAATTAATCACGAGTATAATGTAGCCTGTTAAACTATATTAGGGATTTGGGGAGAGTTTTAGGGGCTATTAGAAAATTAGTATAAAAATTTAAAATTTGGAATTATTTTAACGACTTCAAGTTATAAAGCAGTACCTAAATATTTTTCTGTTTAAGAATTATTACAAATTAATGAAGTTTTATAAGAGTTCTGTCTATTAATGAAGGGTTATTAGC